ACACCCGTTTGCCGATTGGAGCTGTCCTTTCATTTGTGCACCTCTGGATCCGGGTGAAGCATTAAACTGTCTTCCTTCTCCATCAGGTGTACAGTTTTTAAACTATCAATCACTGGCATTTCAAGTCTTCTGAAAACAGTATGGCAGTATGTGCGTGGTCCCTAGCACAGTATAAGCAGCATCTAATAGCAGGTTTCATTGTAGAGTGTTTTCAGATGCTTGAATAAATCAGATCTTTAATCGAAAAAAAAAAAAAAAAGAACAAGCCATCCAAAGCATGTGTGACACGTTTCCCCAGGTGGTGGCCTTTAGACACTCCTCCCCCACAACCCCTTCTGTCCTCCCATCTCTCTCCCATATTCCTGTCCCTCACCTGCCGACTTCATTCCTCTGTTTCCCCCTCACCTCACCAGGTGGAATCTTCCTTAGCAACTCCCTCCAAGACTGAAGAGCTTCCCAAACCAAGTTGGGCATTGGCCCTATCCAAGGTTCTGAAACCTGCTGGGACGCCAGGATGGAGCTGGTGTTTCTGTTCCACGGTGAACACATGTGAGGATTCAGTGGCAGTACTAAATGTTATTTTAATATTTCCTTCATGCCTTAACTCCAACAGGTAACAGCTTAAAAATACATAATTGAAAGATTTTCTGTCTGAAAAGATGCTTCTGGGCTGAAGCCTGGGGAGATGGTGGCTTTATCTTGAATATCGTCAGAAATACAGATTCTGAGACACATACGTCTCTAAATCCATTCAGATGTCTGCAGACTGTAAGACAGATGTCAGTAGAAATAATGCTAAGGGGTTATCAATCAACTCAGCAAATGTTTATCAAACCCCTCTGATCAACCACTATGCTGGGCATCTGGGTGCTTATAAAGAGATAGAAGGAGAGGTTTTAAATCTGAAGAGTTCTAGATCTATAAGGAGTCAACATTAAATATAATAATATTAAAGATGAGGGACTTCCCTGGTGGTCCAGTGGTTAAGACTCTGTGCTTCCACTGCAGGGGGCATGGGTTCGATCCCCGGTAGGGAAACTAAGATCCCACATGCTGTGTGGCACCGCCAAAAAAAAAAAAAAAAAAATATTAAAGATGAAATAACATGTATTGTAGAACTGCCACCAACCAGCTGGTACATTTAGGAAATAAATGGTTTGGTCAGAAACCAGCTTTCTGAGAGCTCACTATCATCCCCCTATTGGAGCAGAGTTTGTGATTGAAGAGTGTTAGCAGGAGACCTTCACGTGGGGCATGGTTTCCTATCATGATCCAATATCTCTGTTAAGTTTAATCTAAGATTTACTTTTGTTCCAAGAGTGTACTGGAGCTTTGGAATAGGATCATCCATGAGCAGTATAAATCTCAAGGAAATTATAAACCTTTAGCCAGACTCATCAAGAAAAAGAGAGGGGGAAAAAATAGGGGAAATGAGAGAGGAGAAGGTACAACTGACACCACAGAAATACAAAGGATCATAACAGAGTACTATGAACAACTATATGCCAATAAAATGGACAACCTAGAAGAAATGGATAAATTCCTAGAAATGTATGATCTCCCAAGACTGAATCAGGAAAACATAGAAAATACGAACAGACCAATTCTCAGGAATGAAATTGAATCAGTTTGAAAAAAAAATAACTCCCAACAAACAAAAACCTAGGACCACATGGCTTCATGGGTGAATTCTACCAAACACTTAAAGAAGAGTTCACAGGCATCCTTCTCAAACTATTCCAAAAAAGTATAAGAGGAAGGAATGCTTCTGAACTCATTCTACCAGGGCAGCATCACCCTGATACCAAAATCAGACAAAGATATCACAAAAAAGGAAAATTAGAGACCAATATCACTGATGAATATAGATTCAAAAATCTTCAACAGAATATTAGCAAACCAAATTCAACAATATAGTAAAAGGCTCATACACCACGATCAAGCTGGATTGATCCTAGGGATGCAAGGGTTGTTCAATATCCACAAATCAATCGATGTGATACATTAATAGACTGAAAAGTAAACTCATATGATTATCTCAATAGATGCAGGAAGAAAACTTTTGATAAAAGTCAACATCCATTTATGACAAAACTCCTAACAAGGTGGGCGTGGGGGAACATACCTCAACATAATAAAGGTCACATATGACAAACCTACAACCAACATCATACTCAAGGGTGAAAGGCTGAAAACATTTCCTCTAAGATCAGGAACAAGACAGGGATGCCCACCTTTGCCACTTTTATTCAGCATAGTATTGGAAGCCCTAGCCACGGAAATAAGAAAAGAAAAAGAAATAAAAGGAATCCAAATTTGAAAGAAAGAAGTGAAACTGTCACTGTTTTCAGATGATGATACTATTTAGAGAAAATCCTAAAGATGCCACAAAAATAAATCTATTAGAACTAATAAATGAACTCAGTGAAGTTGTAGGATACAAAATCAATATACAGAAATCTGTTGTGTTTCTATACAGTAATAACGAACTATCAGAAAGAGAAATTAAGAAAACAACCTCATTTACAATTGCATCAAAAAGAATAAAATACCTAGGAATAAATCTAACCAAAGAGGTAAAAGACCAATACTCAGAAAACTATAAGACATTGCTGAAAAAGAATGAAGACAACACAAACAAATGGAAAAATATACCCTGATCGTGGATTGGAAGAATTAATACTGTTAAAATGACTATACTACTGAAGGCAACCTGCAGATTCAACACAATCATTATCAAAACACCAATAGCATTTTTCACAGAACCACAACAAATAATTCAAAAATTTGAATGGAAACACAAAAGACCCTGAATAGCCAAAACAATCTCGAGAAAGAAGAACAAAGCTGGAGGTATCACGTTCCCTGATTTCAAAGTATACTACAAATGTACAGTAATCAGAACAGTATAGTACTGGCACAAAAGCAGACACATAGATGAATGGAACAGAATAGAAATCCCCCCAGGCACATATGGTCAATTAATCTATGACAAAGGAGGCAAGAATATACAGTAGGGAAAAGATATCCTCTTCAATAAATGGTACTGGGAAAACTGGACAGCTGCATTCGAAAGAATGAAACTGAACTACTTTCTTATACCATATGCAAAAGAGAAAGAAAGCTCTAAATGGATTGAAGATTTAAATATATGACCTGAAACCATAAAACTCCTAGAAGTAAACACGCAGTATGCCCTTTGACATTGGCCTCAGCAGTAATTTTTTTTTTTTTTTGGATATGTCTCCTCAGGCAAGAGAAATAAAAGCAAAATAAATGAGACTACATCAAACTAAAAAGCTTTTGCACAGTGAAGGAAACTATCAACAAGACGAAAAGACAGACAACTGAATAGCAGAAGATATTTGCAAATAATAAATCAAATAAGGGGTTAATATCCAAAATATACAAAGAACTTGTACAACTCAGCATTAAAAAAAACCAATTTAAAAATGGGCAAAGGGGCTTCCCTGGTGGCACAGTGGTTGAGAGTCCGCCTGCCGATGCAGGGGACGCGGGTTCAGGCCCCGGTCTGGGAAGATCCCACATGCCGTGGAGCGGCTGGGCCCGTGAGCCATGGCCGCTGAGCCTGCGCGTCCGGAGCCAGTAGCGGGAGAGGCCACAACAGTGAGAGGCCCAAGTACCGCAAAAAAAAAAAAAAAAAAAATTGGGCAAAGGACCTGAATAAATATTTTTCCAAATAAGACATATATATGGCCAACAGACCTATGAACAGATGCTCCACACCAGGCAAATACAAATCAAAACCACAATGAGCTACTATCACCTTCAGGCTTGTCAGAATGGCCATCATCAAAACGACAACAAATAACAATGTTGGCAAGGACTTGGAGAAAAGGGAACCCTCATGCCCTGTTGGTGGGGATGTAAATTGGTGCTGCCACTATGGAAAACAGGATGGAGGTTCCTCAAAAAATTAAAAGTAGAACTGCTATATGATCCACCAATTCCACTTCTGGGTATTTTTTCCAAAGAAACAAAAACTCTAGGTCAAAAGATACATACACCCCAATGTTAATAGCAACACTATTTACAATAGCCGATATATGGAAGCAACAAAAGTGTCCATCAACTGATGAATGGATAAAGAAGATGTGGTACATATGTACAGTAGAATATTACTTGGCCATAAAAAAGGAATGAAATCTTGCCATCTGCAACACTATGGATGGACCTGTAGGGTGTTATGCTAAGTGGATTAAGTCGGACAGAGAAAGAATCATATGATTTTGACTATATGTGGAATCTAAAAAGAAAACTAAAAAAAGAACAAATGCAACAAAACAGAAACAGACACAGAGAACAAACTTGAGGTTGCCAGAGGGGAGGGTGACGGGGGGATGAGTGAAATAGGCGAGGGAGATTAAGAGGTATAAACTTCCAGTCATAAAATATCAATAAATGAGTCACAGGGATGTGATGTAGTGCATAGGAGTAAAGTCGATAATAATGTAATAACTTGTATGGTGACAGATTATAAATAGAATTTAAAAGGTGAACATTTTGTAGTGTATAAAAGTATCAGATCACTATGTTGTACACCTGAAACTAGTATAATATTATAAGTCAATTATACTTCAATAAAAATAAATGAGAAATAATAAGAAATCTCAAGAAAATAAGGCAATTGTGTTAGTCAACGCTCAGTTTTACTTTCAAATAGCCACGTCTCTCTCTCTCCATCTTCTGTTTCTGTCTGTGTGCAAACTTTGATCTCCTTTACCTCACACTGACTTTCCCCACAGACCCCCACACACTGACTACTACAGAGACTCGATATATAATAGACGAGATCCTTCCCTCCCTGATTATTTGGTCCAGTGGGTGTCAACAGTCCAGCCTTAGACCAGTTACCATGGCTAGGAAAGGGAGTCAATTGAGAAGGTGGAAATTACATGTTTAGTAGAATATAGGTATATTCTACTTATAATTGTCTAAGTAGAAACCCCAAAACCAACATCACAAATCAAAAGGACAAATTCAAATCAAAAGAAAAACTTTTAATAAAAAATCAAAATGGTCCTAATTATCAGCAGTAACTGCTTAGAAGATTCAATAGAAAAGTAATTTTCCATTTACAACGGCAGCAGGACTTTAACATACATGAGTGAGCCTGATTAACGTGTGAGATCCTTACAAAGATGACAGTATGACATCCTTGCAAGACATTGCGACGCCCTGACAGAGGGAGCAGAGGTTTGCTACCGTCCTAAACAGGAAGCCTCAGGAGTGCGTGGCTGACTTTCTTCCATTTTACTCTACACGTTCAGTGAGACAACAATCAAAAGCTCAACATAGATTTTTAGAGATATTGACAAACGGAATCTAAAATTCATCTTGAAGAGAAAGGGCAAGACCAGAAAAGATAAGAAAGGAAGAAAAGGAGGAAGAGGGGGTGGTGATTCTCTCCCCATTTTGGGCACAAAACAAATGGGTATAAAACGGGGAGGGCAGCTGACGTGAGCAAATAGATCAATCGAACGTAATGAAAAGTCCAGAAACAGAGACTTTAGCGTATGTGGAATTAATACACAGGAAAGGACGCGTTTCGCATCCACAGGGATTGATGGCACTAAATGGTGTGGAGACACTTCTCCACTGCTGTGGAAGAAAAACAGAATTAATCTTCAACCTCACATCATTTCCCGAAGTAATTTCAGACATCAGTGTAAAACAGAACTGTAAAAACATTGGACAAAAATATAAGACAATGGAACCTGGAGAGACAAAAGACCTCAAACAAGACACAGAAAATGCAAAAGGCTAAACTAAAGAACACATAAGCTTGACTACCTCAAGATTTAAAATTCCTATACGACTCACGATACAGTTAAGAATTACCCACAGACTTGGAGAAAACATTCACACCATACATAGCAAGGGATTCACAGATACAATATGCCATCATCTCCGTATAATAATACGAAAAAGATAAACAACGGTGGAAATTCAGGCAAAGGATATAAACACGATTCATGGGGGAGAAATTACAAATGCCAGTAAGCGTGGAAATGCTCGATTCGGTAGGAATGAGGGGAAAACTCGTTAAAACAAGACGTCCTCTCTCACCTGTTTGATTGGCAAACACGAGCACGACGGACAAGAGCAGGTATCAGCAGAGACGTGCGGAAACAGGATTCCTACGTGCTGTTGGTGAGAACGTACTTTGAAGGGCCTTCTGCGGAGAGGGATCTGGGCGCATCTATTGGCGCAAAGACCGCACAGGCCCTGGCTTCTCCGCTTCCCAGATCTACCTGGAGAAACACCCACTCGTGTGCAAAGGAGGCGAGAAAGAGAACACCCACCACGATGTTCCCTGAAGGCGTGAGAGCTCGGAGGAAAAAATGAAACGTCCTGCAATGGAGACTTGGTTCAATGCAGAGGAATCTGGTGCTTCAGTTCTTGGACTTTGGAAGCCTGGGGGAGGGGGTTCCGGGCTGACCCCTTTGCCGTAAAACGGTGCGTAGAAGACTGTGGTTGGGAGGTGGGGTGTGCGGCTGCCCCCCCCAACTGTGATGCAGTGAGGCTGGGTCAAGGGGTCTGTAAGTCCTACAAGGCAGTCACCGCAGGGCGGACGGTGAGCCTTAGTGGGCAGCACCCTGACTTGCCAGTGTTCGCGCCACGCTGATTCCTGTGGAGTTAGGTTTGTGGGACTCTCTCATCTCTCACGGGCATTAGCTGACGCTGGACCTCAGGTATGAGCGAGGGACACGGGCTGGAGGCCTTGGAGATGCGGCTCAGGGTCCCTGATGAGCGTGTGTCCTGCCCACTGGGCGCTGCAGCCCGGTGGCCCCTTCCCTCCCACATCTTCTGCACATTGAAGACGAGCCTCCCCGCCCAGGAGGCCGCAGGGGTCCTCTCCGCTTGTCTGGAGCCTCAGGGTCTCCTCACGCCGGTCCAGGGCCGCACACGCCTTCCCCTCTGAAGTTTGAGGCAGCGAGAGACTGGTGAGTATTTTTAGGTTTCCCTCTGTGCAAGCAGGTGGAATTTTAATGAGCAGTATTGGCACTGCACTGAGTATGTCCGATGTCCACAGGAGAAATTAGCCCTCTGCTAAGCCAGCTCTGTGCTTTCATTACATGCATCGGATCAATGCTGGAAAACAAACACAGGCGCCAGGTATCCCGGGGACGCGTTCTGGGGGAGAATCCATCGCAGGAAATGCTGCACTAATTAGCGGAGGAGACCGCGGGGGTCTGTCCTCACGGGTCCATCAGGAGGCACAGTGGAGAGGACGCCGGGGGATGATGGGTTACAGGGCTGAGTGGGGACCTCTAGGGTCCTTGAGCAGGTGCCTCCCACGGGGAAAGACACAGGGGTCTTTGAGCCCCTAAAGCTTTGCTACTCAGACTGGAGTCCCTGGACCTGCAGCAGCAGCATCATTGGAGCTCGTTATAAATGCAGATTCCCAGGCTCCTCCCTCCGCATCGGCCCCTCCGGTGCATCAGAACCCCGAGCATCTCCAGGGCACACACTGCATTTCCCGGCCGCCTTCGCAGAATCAGGGATCATCTGACCAGTGGATTTGAGTTCTGCCCAATGCACTGTGAGCAGAGGTGATGGGAGCGCTTTCGGGTCGCGCCCTGAGGGGACGCAGGGGGTGATGGGAGCGGCTGGCGGGTCGCGCCCTGAGGGGATGCAGGGGAGCCCTCCCCTCCCATTTTTCCCATCCACTGGCTGAATGAGGCCCAGTCAGCTTGGGTCAGCTTCTTATCTGGGCCCATGAGGCCCCAAGGGAAAAGGGGGTCTGTGAGCTTTGGAGAAATTTAATCTCTTTATCATGTGCCGATCACTGAGCTTCCTGTGGCTGGGCTTCCGCAGCGGCGCAATAGGGATGATGACGGTGATGGTGATGATGGTGGTGAAGATGGTGCCTTATTTCCAGGGAGAGGAGGAAAGGTGATGCGGCAATGGCAGGGCTTGGAGCAGGCCCTGTGCCTGCTGTTACTAATATCATTCTTACTAATACCTCATGTTCTTGGTGAAGTGGACTTTCCCCCTCCTCTCCTGGGCCCCTGGTTAGAAGGCAGGAAACGAGCTCCCCTTTAGAAAACCTCCTTTCCCAGCTTGTCCTCAGCAGGAGTCCTCTACAGAAGGCATGAATGTCCCGCAGGCAAGCAGAGGACACAGGCCGTCCCCCAACCCTGTCCCAAGGGTCCCACTGGGACTGGTATCCTGGAAGGCGCATTAACATCGCAGCCCCTGCTTCCTGCAGTGGCACCGAGACAGCGGCTCCCATTGTGCTTAGCTGAGGGGAATCAGGAGTGGACACCAGCGGGCAGGCGCTGGTCACTTTGTTGACGAGGCTGATGTGCCCACCTCCTGGGGAGTTTCCAGGGGAGGCGTCGGGGCTGCCCCTGCAAAGCGGTGGGGCTGGCGTCCCCGGGCTGGTGTCTGCACTCCAAAGCACATTAGCCTGGATCGGGAGGGCAGGAACGTCACAGACCTCTGCATTCAAGGCCTGGTGATTAGTGGGACGGGACATCTTGCCTCATGTTTTTTTTGGGGTTTTTTTTTTGGTTTTTTTTTTGAGGTACGCGGGCCCCTCCCTGCTGTGGCCTCTCCCGTTGCGGAGCACAGGCTCCGGACGCGCAGCCGCTCCGCGGTATGTGGGATCTTCCCGGACCAGGGCACGAACCCGTGTCCCCTGCATCAGCAGGCGGACTCTCAACCACTGCGCCACCAGGGAAGCCCCAGCACTATTTTTAATGGCTGCTTCGAGAGCTGTGAGAATACTGCACAATAATTTATTTAGTGGATCCCTGTGTTTAAACCTTTTGATTGTCTCCAATTTTTCCACCATTATAAATAGCATCGCTATGAGCATAAATCTTCACACGCATCCCTGAATACTTCCTTGGGATGAATTTCTAGAAGGAGCTGCTGGGTAAACACATTTTAACCTTGAAGCTGCTTCAAGCCCATTTCCCAAGGCCTGCGTCAGGGCTGCCCCGCCTGGTGGTGCAGGTTGCACACTGCTCAGAGGTCCCAGAAGGGGCAGGAAGGGGCTGAGGAGGAGCCTGTGGTCCACTCCGCAGGTATCCAGGTGCCCCCTGGAGCAGGTAACTTTTTCTAGTCTGCACAGAGGCACAGAAATTGCTAGCAGAGCCCTGGCTGAATTGTCAAAGAGTCTGAGGTCAGAGGAGTCCCCTGACTGAAACCACCCACAAGGGGCCCCAGGGCGTGGGGTCGGGGCCAGCGACTGTCCAGTCTCATCCAGGTGACCCTGAGCATTGCCCAGGGTGAGGTACAGAGCCCTCTCCCTTCTGCCCACAGCCCCTGGGCCTGTCCGTCCACAGCAGGCACGGATTCCCCCACTGGTCACCAGCTGAGTGATGCCCGTCTGCATCCTGAGGGTTTGCCTAACCCCACAAGTCACCCCACGTGGACCAGACATGCCCCGTGGTCCTGGGAGCCTGTGGATTCCAGAACAGAGGATGGGGCCTGGGCAGCAGCTGGGATGCTGGTGGGGACCGTGAGGAAGTTCCTGCCCCCGACGAGGGGGGTCGGATGGACTGAGCTGGGCTCTCCCTCTGAGCCCAGTGCCTGGGCCCCCCCGGTCACGCCCAGCACAGGGAGGGGTGCTGGCGTCTGGACAGAGAGCTGTGCGAGGGGAGACGCGGCCTGAGGGAGTCGTCCCAGCCGAGGGAGCTCACAGCCCCGTGGGGGCCCTGCAGACGGACGCCGTCCCTGTGAAGACCCCAGTCCCCAGACTCGGGAGCCAGCTCTGTCCCCAGGGGCCGGCCTGGGGCTGCGCAAAGAGGGTCTCTCCTCCTGGGCCACCCAGCGCCTCTGCCGCGGGGGTGGGTGTCCCAGCTGAAATCTCTCAAGGTTTTCACAATTACACTTTATGGGGAAATCCCGGCAGAGCGCCCGCCTCCGTCCACACTAGTGGCAGCGGTCACCTCGGAGCGATAGCGCGATCTTAGTGGGTGAAAACACACTTAGAGTAACCCCTACGACAACCTTCCAGGCAGGGCTTTGCCCGTCTGAACGGAAACGGCCCCTCGAGGGGACCTGCGATGGGAGAGTCAGGACCATCTTCACCGCAGAGGCAGCCGCGGGGGTCTGGGAGCTCCAGCCACTTTGATTGCAGACTTAATGCACTGACCTTGTGCAACTTCAAGCCCCCGTTTGGGTGCAGAAGTGGCGCTTTTGAGATGATGGGCTTTTAATGATCACCTTTGACCGTGTCAGCTCAGTGACTAATCTACGGGAGAGACAGAGACAGGGAGGCAGAGAGATGGAGAGAGAGACAGAGAGAGATAAAGACAGATAGAGACAGAGAGATAGAGAGACAGAGACAGGGAGACAAAGAGAGACAGAGACAGACAGAGACAGATAGAGAGACAGAGAGACGGAGACAGAGAGATGGAGAGAGAGACAGAGAGAGACAAAGACAGATAGAGACAGAGAGATAGAGAGACAGAGACAGGGAGACAAAGAGAGACAGAGACAGGGAGACAGAGACAGATAGAGAGACAGAGACAGAAAGAGAGACAGAGACAGAGAGGAAATGGCATTAGGAGTGTCTTCTGGGGGTGCAGGGTGGCCCTGCCGGGACCCTACTCCCCAGTCCTGTGAGGCAGGGTCTGGGCAGGGCGGTGATTTGGGGTTTTCCTCTTTCCTTCCTCTGCAAAGAGGCGTGGAACCAGAGCCAGAGGATGGGGGAGAGAGAGGAGGAGAAGCACCACGTGTCTGCTCCAGAGACAGGAAGCGCTGATCCCAACGGGCACGTCCGTGGGTCCACGTGATGGGACTGAGGCAGGAGATGGGCTCCAGGCTAGACATTTACAACCGGCCTCCTGTTCACACTTCTGGGGGGAGAAGAAGATGGGCTCCAGGCCAGACATTCATTACCAGCCCCCTGTTTACATTTCCTGAAGCGAGAGACAAACGGGCTCCAGGACTACATATTTATGACCAGACTCCTGCCTATATTTCGAGATCTGCACCTCGATATAAAAACCAGTAAGAGAAATAGGGTAAATAACCGGACATTGGACATTTTTGTGGCAGGAACAGAGCGGGACTGAACCCTGTTAAAAGATCAAGAGGCCATACATCTCCCATCCTTGGGGCAAGGGAGACACTGCACATGCGCAGAAAGGCTCCTTGGGGGTCAAAAAGGAGGGGGCACCACCCCATAATAGGTGATGCTAAGGCCGTCCCATAGGCCTCTGGGCTGGGATCCATCTTGGAAAGAAGCTGCACGCGTGTTAGGGAGGGTCCTAGGGCAGGGCAGGTGTGGAGAAGGAAACCAGATAATTGGCCAGAGGTGAACAGAGACCCGGAAGACCTGCCCTATATAAGTGACTTAACTGCCTCTTTACTGGGGTCCTCCTCGTTAGGGGGGACGACCACACCCTTGCTCTCCAGGTGTGCATCTCTGCCCTGCTTCTGTCTTAACTAAACAAGCTGTTTCTCGGTGTGCTCTCCCACTTGTTGTTGTGCTGTGTCCCTAACAATAAACTTTGCACCTGTTTTTACAGTTTTGCCTCGGTGAGAAATGCGTTTTTCACTGGGGGGCAAGAGCCAGGGGGTGTGCTGGCTGGGATTCCTGGTTTTCATCCAGGCTCCCCAGGTTCAACTCCCGGGCAGGGAATTAAGATCTCACTTTACGCCACCACTCACTGCTGCCCCTCCGAGATCAGTGTTAGACTCACTCAGGGAGAGGCCAGAGCAGCTGGAGAGGCCTGGGACAGTCAGGACACCACCTCCCCACCGTGTGGCTTTGAGTTCACGGGCCCTAACAATTGTTAGTGTTGAAATATGGGAACACGTCTCTAACCGTGGTGAACAGGCACTGCCCCAAGCCCCGCAAGCGCCCGGCCCTCTGCCAGCCTCCTCAGGACCTGGTGACTGAGTGGTTAACGCCTGGCAAGGCTGAGTCGGGGAGGGGCAGGGGAGGGACACACTGAGTCCACAGGGACAGCCACTCCCCAGCCCCAGGACAGCATGTACATGCCAGAATCCCGGAATCGCGGCCCAGAGTTGCAGACATTCCAGTTCTTCAAGAGAAGTTTCCAAATACATAAATATTGCTTCAGATTTTTAAGAAAACCCTCTGTGGACCAAACGTGACCCATTCCAGACAGAATGCAGACCGCAGGCGGCAGGGAGACCTTTCTAGTCCAAAACCCACCTATGTCCACATATCCCAAATTCTGCAAATCTTCAGGTCCCCTAAATCCACCAATTTTCATTTATTTACACGGGGAATTCAGACCTAGAAGCTGAGTGGAGCTGGGGTATTTGGGGGCGTTGCCCAGGGAGAGCTCAGGTGGGTTTTGTCCCTGTGAACCCGCCCTCCCCCGGCCCACTCACTCAGACGACCCTGACTCGGCCTCCCGGGGCCATGGGCAGGGCTCTGAGAGCCCAGACAGGTTTATCCAGCACTTCGACAGTGAATGTGATCCCTGAGATTTAACTCTCTGGGAACAAACCCGTTCCCCACCCCACCCCCGCACAGGAAACAGCAATCAGCCCATCATCATTTCCACGCTGCTCACTCACCAGCCGCCGTCTGTAGGCTAATCAGCCTGCCCAGCCCAGTAGATTCCTGAGCACCGGTCCCAGCACTGAAGTCGCGCCTCTGGGCCTCCTAAACCCAACCTGCTGGGGTCAGCCACCCCGCTGCTCTTTCCCACCTCCAGGTCGGCCAGGCCAGATGCCCTGCCGCACGCCTGGCTGCCAGCCTCGTAGGCAGGAGGCAGGCGGTTCCCACCGACCCCAGGCTCTGGGAAGCAGGAGGCAGAGGCCAGCTCTCTGTGGACTGGGCCCAGATTGTAGAGGCTGTCCGTGCCTGTGGTGGCCCGTGGCCTTCTCTGCATGCGTGCCTCCCTACTGGGTTCTCCTAATGACAAAATGACACAGCTCTGGCAGGTGAGCAGAGGAAGGATGGTGCCCACAGTGAGTCTCAGTGGGATCGGAGAGCTAAATTTAGAGAGAGCCGTGCATTCAAATGTGGACACACCCCAGGGGATGCATCACCCAGCGAGCACGGCGGGAGGACATCTCACTTCCCGGAGCCCCTGGGGAGGCGGCCGCAGTAGCTGGAGCAGTCCCAGCTCCTGAGGAAGTGGATCCCTGTGGGGCATACCCGAGGGACTGTTTATAGGGCAGACGCTCGGGCTTTTCCAGGGGTCTGAGAAGTGCTGAGCTCCGCAAGGTCCCCCCTACCGGAGCCCCTTCGTTAAAGTATGATTTTGCTGGTTCAAATCACATGTAAAATCATGTAGGGACTTCCCTGGCGGTCCAGTGGTTAAGACGCCGCGCTTCCAATGCAGGGGGCGCGGGTTCCATCCCTGGTTGGGGAGTTAAGATCCCACATGCCGCGGGCCGAGGCCAAAAAATAAGTAAATAAATAAAAGCATGGAAAGCAGAGATTGAAAGATGTTTTATTGGGGCCTGCTTCTTCCCACTTTAAAAAGGGGGAAAAGACGTTCACATAAAAACCCAGACTTTCACCTGCACCTCGGTGGCCCTGGGCTGAGGTCCGAGCAGGGCGTGGCCAGTGTCCCTTTCCCCTGGGCTGGGGTCCGCTTCCCCGCTGGGGCGTCCTCATCGGTGTTACATGCCTGGGCCCTTCCATGTTCCCAATGTAGAGGAAAAGACTATTTGGAGACTCGTAACAAGCCAGGTTGTTTTAGAGGGATGTAAGGATTTCGAGGCTTAGAAAAGGGAGATTTAATACAGGGTAAGTCAGCCACTCCATAGACCACCTGCTCCTTGTGGAAGGAAATCCACCAGGGGTTGGTCTCAGTGGAAAGGAGATGCTTCCAACTTTGTTTCTGCCGCTGATTTGGAGGAGCGCCTTGGGTGGAGGACAGGGTCGCTCTCGGATGCCCCCGGGTGACGGCAGTTTGATGCCACCATTTCTGTTCTTTCTGGGCTCATTTGACAGATGGCAAAGGATGTAACTTGGCAACAGCAGAAAATACTAAATGCTCTCGCACCTGTTTCACAGATCACCAGTATACCCGCACACACTTAGATCATACATGCCCCTAAGTTAAATCCCCCAACATGAGGGGCTGGATACTTCCTGCAGGGGTGCTGGGCTCAGAGTAGGCACTGAATAGACCTTTACTAACCCATCTCTACACCAACCTTGGTCTCTCCCCAGCCCAGTCCTAGTTTCCAATCTGTACACTCACCTGTGCTTCCACAGCTCCAAGATGACAGTGCGGGCCACACTGATCAACAACAGTGTCACCTGGGTGTGGTCCCCACAGTGAAAATGTCCAATGACAAAAGCAACCTGGTCTGGATCTGTACACCCCCAGCGGGAAAGCTTGGTGGCATCTTCTCAAGCTGAGCGCTGTAACACATCAATTCCACCCTTAGGTATACACCTGTCGATTTCAGCGCAAAAGCGTGTAACCCTGCGTCCTAAAAGGCACACACAAGCATGGTCATAGCAGCACTGACCCAAACTGAAACTGCTCATATGCCATAAACAGTAGAATGGATAGATTACTGGTGGCTTTTCACAATGGGAAATTATTCAGCACTAAGAATGAAAAATCTAGAAATCATACACCGTGATATGGAGGACTTGCAAACATGACGAGTGAGACACTGAATACATAAGAGCACATGCAACGTCATCCCATTCACCTAAAACATAAAAATAGGCAAAACTGATCTACCATGATAAAAGTCAGGGAACAGCTACCTTTAAGGAGGAAACAAATCAGCGTATCATGATATATGGAAAAGACCATGATTTTTTTTAAATAAATAAATTTATTTATTTTTGGCTGTGTTGGATCTTCGTTGCTGTGCATGGGCTTTCTCTAGTTGTGGTGAGCGAGGGCTACTCTTCATTGTGGTGCACAGGCTTCTTATTGCGGTGGCTTCTCTTGTTGCGGAGCATGGGCTCTAGGCACACGGGCTTCAGTAGTTGTGGCTCGCGGGCTCAGTAGTTGTGGCTCACGGGCTCTAGAGCGCAGGCTCAGTAGTTGTGGTGCACTGGCTTAGTTGCTCCGTGGCATGTGGGATCCTCCCGGACCAGGGCTCGAACCCATGTCCCCTGCATTGGCAGGAGTATTCTTAACCCCTGCACCGCCAGGGAAATCCCAAGACCATGATTTTTCAATGGGCAAAAGATTTTAATAGACACTTCACCAGAGAATATATCTGAATGGCTAATAAGCACGTGAAAAGACACTCATCGTTAGGGAAAAGCAAACTAAAGCCTCAGTGAGGTACGCACCCCCTAGAATGGCTAAGATCAAAGGGATGGACCATGCCAAGTACTGGTGGGAATGGAAAATGCTGCAGCCATCTGGAAAACAGCGTGGCAGCTCCCCAAAAGTTAAATACAGAGTTACCATATGTATTAACTTCCTACTGCTGCTGTAACAAATGCCACAAATTCAGTGGCTTGAAACAACACATTTATTTTCTTTCGCTCTGGAGGTCAGGAGTCTCAAAGGAGCTAAACTCAAGGTGTCAGCAGGGCTGGTTCCATGTGGAGGCTCCAGGGGAGGGTCTGTTTCTCACCTCTTTCAGCTTCTAGAGGCGCCTGCGTCCCTCCAATCTGCTTCTGTATTCAAGGCCGGCTCCCCAAACTCCCACCTCCGTCTTACAAGGATCCTTGTGACCACGTTGAGCCCACGCAAATGATCCGGGATAATCTCCCAACTCCAGACCCTTAACTTAATCCCATCTGCAAAGTCCCTCTGGCCATACGAGGCCATGTCGACAGTGAACGTGTGGGTACTGACACCCAGACACGTCTATACGGAAAGATGAAGCTCCTTGGTGGGCGGGAGTACAGGCCCGGGGGGCAGGCAGCCAGGGATCTGTGACCTCGGACAAGTTAACAAACATCTCCAGGTAAGACTGAGATCACAAAGCACGTTCATGAAGGGGCCATAAAAGAAGAAAATTCAACTGAGCAAACCTGAAAGATCTTACTGGCTTGGGCTTCCCTGGTGGTGCAGCGGTTGAGAGTCCGCCTGCCGATGCAGGGGACACGGGTTCGTGCCCCGGTCCGGGAAGATCCCACATGCCGCGGAGCGGCTGGGCCCGTGAGCCATGGCCGCTGGGCCTGCGTGCCTGGAGCCTGTGCTCTGCAACGGGAGAGGCCACAACGGTGAGAGGCCTGTGTACCGCAAAAAAAAAAAAAAAAAAAAAAAGATCTTACTGGCTTTCTGCAGTGGTTCATGAATCAGGCAGCATCCAATCTAACAGACAGAAAGAAGCACCAAGAAGCTGTACAAAATGAAAGACTTTTATAGACAGAAGGGAAGAGGAACGAGGAAGTCATACTAGACCAGACATGGGCTGGTTACTGCAAGGTTACTTTCCTGTAGCAGGTGACAGGCGTCTAAGAGGCAGGTGACCTAACTGGTGCTGATCTAGTGACTCCTGGTTCACAGGTTTACGGTCCCATTTCTGGAAAGCAAAAGCCGTTATTAAATTAGGTCTTAGTTTGGTGATGTGGGGCTTAGCATAATCAACTCCATTTGGGGACGGTCGTCTTGTTTTTAGCCAGGCCTCGTGAGGACCAATTGGATAATACACGTGCTCAGGAGGGCACCTATCTGCCCTCATGTCCACTATGGTCCTTCTGCCCAGCGTCACGAGGGGCTTGGCCTGCAGGCGGAGCCTCCAGGCTCCCTTGCCCACTGGCGTCACCTCCGTCCAGCAAATGCTGACAGTTTGGGTGTTGGAGGGTGTGAGGGGAGAAGCCTGTGTATCTCTCTGCTTCTCTGTTGTTTGTTTGTTTGTTTGTTTGTTTTTTGCCGTAAGTGGGCCTTTCACTGTTGTGGCCTCTCCCATTGCAGAACACAGGCTCCGGACGCGCAGGCTCAGCGGCCATGGCTCACGGGCCCAGCCGCTCTGCGGCATGTGGGATCTTCCCGGACCAGGGCACGAACCCGTGTCCCCTGCATCTGCAGGCGGACTCTTAGCCACTGCGCCACCAGGGAAGCCCTGCTTCTCTGTTTTGAAAGGCATCTCCTGTTCTATCTGTATCTTTTTCCTGATTCCAGGGTTCTGCACAGCACCTCCTTCACAACCCCAGGTCTGACGGGACCACCTTCCCCATGCTCAGCCAGCATCCAGGATGGTTGGGGCGCCAGCTCTCGTTTGTCTCAGGGTTGCCCCACCTACTCCTGTCTTCAGCTCTTCCTACGCCTTTGTTACCAGTCCAGGGTACTAACTTTCCTCTGTAGAACCACCTTTGTTTTCCTAAGAGAACCCTAATTGAAAAATGCTCGATAATATAAGCTATTATTTTTAAATTAAGCATGTTCAGGTTCATAGAAATTGTATGCCCCTTTACCATATTTATGTGTTTACATGTCTTCCCCCTGCCTTTTATGAGTAGGGATAATGTAAAATGTAACAGACATTGCTTATTTGCCCACCCAATACCCATTCTTCCCTTCTTCGTTAGCAAAGAATCTTTATTCAAGGAGACAATGCATCTCACCCAGGGGCCGCGATGTTATCGGCCACTGAATGAAATTTCCAAACGATAGACAAGGCATTGTCATTAATTTTTGTCCAACTGGGGATACAAATACGTTTCCTATCACCCAGGAGTTCACAGTCCTGTGAGGCGCACTCAAGTGCCTGATACATGGTAAGCGCTCAGGTGAGATGGGTTGACTGATATGCTCTTTCATAAACCTGAATGCAAGCTGGGACCCATGACCTGACATTGGACTTATATTCCTGATTTACTGCATTATTCACACAAACTCTTGCAAATGTATAAAAGTTAAATCACATTTGGTTGAAAAGGACAAAATTGCACGAAGATGGACCTAGAAATCTAGACCATATAGACCCATTTTCTATGACTATTTACTTCCAAAAATGTATCACCCCTTCACAGCCTGTGCCTGCCAGTCTGGGGTGATCTTAGGAGAGGCATTTCCTCTATGGCCTCACCCAACTTGGCTCTGACTAGTTACCATTCACGTGGCCAGTTAGCATTCATGGCAGGGACCTGGCAAAGTTCTTAGCCTCATTGGACAGATGAAGTAACTGGAGATCAAAGAGCTCCAGTTTGAGTGGACTGAGCTAACGTCCACAGCAATGGACAGGGCTGGCCACCCTACCCATCACGACTGCCCAAAACCCACCCACACTTTAAGATTCCAGTTGTGTTAAAAAGCAGGCATTCCTGTGTGGGAAGAATGTTAATGGAAGTTATCAGCCATTTCAAATTACAGAATAGGAAGGAATCTTCCAGATAATATAAGCAAACTTCTTTACTGTGGTCCACAATAA